CCCCAAAACCCCAAAACCCCAAAACCCCAAAACCCCAAAACCCCAAAACCCCTCCTCTATAAAAATTAATTGAAACTTTATCTTATTCCCCTTCGACCCTTGTGAGGAATGAAGGAAGGCTCATAGATACAGATTCTGATAGAATCTCCAACCCAGAAAAGAATTCTGGTAGCGTGATCTCTGATTTGTTCTTAAGAGTCAGCTTGTTCACGATCTCATCGCTTCGGACATCTTCAGCAAGGTCTTCTGGAAGCGAACTTACGAAAGTGATGAAGTCGTGGACTGAGAGAGCCCTCTTCAGTTTCTTGCCTCAGATGTCTTTGAAAACCCGGAACACTTTTTCGTAGATAAAGTCAGCGTCACCGGTCTCTGGGTCTGAGTTGTCGTAGCATTTTGCGAACTTCTTACTGTCTTCTTTACCAACAAGGATCTTCGTGACTTCGTTGATTAGGTTACATTTCACTCCAGTCGCAATTTTGGAGTTTTTCTGAATGACAACTCCGTCTTCGTCCAGCACTGGGTAGGTTAGTGACATGCCTGGGTTTCTGTTGGTTTCGAACAGCCACGGCTTCAAGTCAGCGTCGAACATGACATCGAGTCCGAGGATGTTAAAGAGCTTGTCATTCTTGTCTCTCGTACCATCCATCTCTATGAAGTCTGCTTGTTCGGCTTCGATAGAGCTTCTGTAACACCTGAGCAATGAGTTTGCAAGATCTTTGACCCCCTGCTTCATTTTCTCAAGATCGGGTTCGGGGTCGTCAAGGTTCTCAGAAGCAAGCTCCCAAGCACGAGTGAGTGGGTATCTGTGGTAGACTTGATTTTCATCTTCTTCGTCTTCTGGCTCGGACACGTAATACGGATGGTCAACATTTCTGAGTCCATTTGTGATGGTGGCATGAGGGTTGGTTACATTCCCTCTCTCGTACTCATCAGTGCAGACTCTTGCAAATCCGCAGTCAAATGATACATAGCCTCTCATTGGGTTGATTCCATGGACAATCAGGTACATCCTGGCGTCCCACTTTCTGCCTTTGAGAAGCAGAGGGTTGTGGATGTATTGCTGAGCAACCATGCCTTCCTGGACGCCTTTAGCCATAAGTTCTTCGAAGGTATCAAAGCAGAAGATATCTCCTCCTTCCATTCCTTCAGAAGGTTTTGCTATCCAAGACTTGGCTCTTCCAGAACTCTTGATGTCGTCTTGCAGAAGGTCGAACTCTCTCATCAGGGAGTAGCTGGCTGGATGGAAGCCGTACCTGTCTGCATGGTACTTCTTGCATTGGTTCATGATGGTGTACTGCAAGTCTTTCTGCTTGAAGATCATGGTTCCATAGATCTTGTTGATGAAACCGCCGAATTGATGGAACATTTCTCTGTCATACTCTCCCATCTCTTCTCCGTAGAGCCAGAGAATGTCACTGCCTTCGAAGTCTTGGGAGGTGGAGTAGTTTCCGTAGAACTCTTCCATCATCTTGCCGAGATTCTCTTCTGATTCGGCCTTGCTAATGCAAATAGTGCATGGGTAATCATGCTCTTCAATTACTGGAATGAGTGGATTGTTCATTAGAGAGGGAATAGTATTTTCTTGCTTAATTATTATCGCTCAACATCAGTTTTTAAAATAGGGGTTTTGGGGTTTTGGGGTTTTGGGGTTTTGGGGTTTTGGGG